AGCCCTGCCCGGGCATTCAGAGGCCAGTGTGTTTCTCTCCAGCAGAAATGTTCCCTTGGAAATGCATGGGGGCTGATCGTCCTTGTGTCTGTAAGCGTGTTTCCTCCTTTGATTTCTGCCCTTTGGGAATGTACGGTGACTTCAGAATGGACATGGAGAAGCAAAGAGCTGATTCGGGAGACTGTCATGACCTCATGTCCCTTAGGCTGTCCCTTTAACAGTGAATACCATGGGGCAGAATGGGAGAAGGAGCTGGAGATGATAGCTAATGTCCACGCCTCGTCTAAGGCCACATACTAGTGGCATAGGCAAGTCTACGTGTATTGGGCCAACTTGCAGTGCTAAGCACAGCCAATATCCACATCGAAGTCCACTGAATTAAACTGCACCAATTCACTCATTTGTGGTTTTTTTTTTTTTTTTTTTTTTTGGACAGGCAGAGTGGACAGTGAGAGAGAGAGACAGAGAGAAAGGTCTTCCTTTGCCGTTGGTTCACCCTCCAATGGCCGCCGCGGCCGGAGCGCTGTGGCCCATGCACCGCACTGATCCGAAGGCAGGAGCCAGGTGCTTCTCCTGGTCTCCCATGGGGTGCAGGGCCCAAGCACTTGGGCCATCCTCCATTGCACTCCCTGGCCACAGCAGAGAGCTGGCCTGGAAGAGGGGCAACTGGGACAGAATCTGGCACCCCGACCGGGACTAGAACCCGGTGTGCCGGCGCCACTAGGTGGAGGATTAGCCTAGTGAGCCACGGCGCCGGCTCATCTGTGTTTTTAACAGCCCCTTAATGAGTACCTAGTATGGGCCAGGCACAATGCTAGATTGAAAACACAGTAAATAAATAAACATGCAAAAAAAAAAAAAACTCAGTCATAATCATGGATGGCAAGGCTGTATATTATCTGCCAGGCACTGTTCTGGGAATGGTAAGCATCTTAATTCACTGCATCCTTGCTCAGCTCCTACCAAGGTGGTTCTCTTGCTATCCCTGTTTTACAAATGGAAAAACTGAGGCAAATGGGAAAGCAAAGGCCTTGCCCAAGGTCACTCGGCCCGGATTCAGGTCCAGTCTGGCTGTAGGCCATTGCCTAATCCACTATATGCAATGCTGCCTCTCTTCAGCATAATAATGAGGATGATAGCTAATGAAGACTTAGAACGTCCTCCTGAGGGATGCTGTACTCACCAAAACCTAGTGAGGTGTTTACAGTCATTAACCTCATTTCACAACTGAAGAAACAGAGGCACACAGCGGTTGCTTAACTGCCCCCAAGTCTTATGACTTGTGAGAGGCGGTCAGCATTTGAGACTTGGTCCGCGATCCATACTTTTTTTTTTTTTTTTTTTTTTGACAGGCAGAGTGGATAGTGAGAAAGAGAGACAGAGAGAAAGGTCTTCCTTTTGCCGTTGGTTCACCCTCCAATGGCCGCCCTGGCTGGCGCGCTGCGGCCGGCACACCACGCTGATCCGATGGCAGGAGCCAGGTACTTCTCCTGGTCTCCCATGGGGTGCAGGGCCCAAGCACTTGGGCCATCCTCCACTGCCTTCCCGGGCCACAGCAGAGAACTGGCCTGGAAGAGGGGCAACTGGGAAAGAAACCGGCGCCCTGACCGGGACTAGAACCCGGTGTGCCGGCGCCACTAGGTGGAGGATTAGCCTAGTGAGCCGCGGCATTGGCCGCGATCCATATTCTTAACCTCTATGTATTTATACACAACCAGCCCAGTCCAACCAACTCAAATAATTGAACTTAAACAATTGAATTACAGGATGAGCAAAGAACCACCATGATAAAATGACAGAACGCTCTTAAGTACTATAGACTGATGGTTTAAGGTATCTCTGTAAGTGAATGTTGAGGGAAGAGAGCACAACATAGGTTGAAAATTCTTGGGAAGGTGGATTTCTAGATTCCCCTCCATAACTCTACTGCTCTTCCAGACAGAAAACTCATTGTCTCCTGTCTGGAGGAGGGAAAACACAATTGAAAGCAGGAATGCCATACGAGGGTTAGAAGCTTGGTTACATACGTGTTACAACGCTTAGTCTGCCACCCCTCTTCCTCAGTCTGTGTCTCCCTGCACTAGACTTCCAGCAGATGAAAATAAGGCCCAGGCAGAAAGTGCAGAGCTCAGATGTGAAGCCAGATGGTGGACGTCTACGGCTTCCCTTGGCCTCTGCATCGCCATCCTGCCTGCACATCTGCAGCTCTCTGACACTTCTTGCCATGCCCTCTGCCCTTTGACCCTCATTCAGCATCCAACACAGCAGGAGTGGACCACACATGTCCAAGGATAAATATAACAGGCTTCCTATACATTGCATCATATGCTACACAGTGTACGTTGAAGAAATGAAAATGTGCTTAATTGTGGAATATCCCCTTCATTTCTTTTTTTTAATGAGGGTACACATCAAAAAATACAAATTATGAAAGGCATGTATTTCTCAGTTTTCCTGATTTTGAAAAATAAAAGGTGTTAACTGTGAGGTCTTATGGAAAAAGTGGACTATTTTGTTTTTTGGAACAGAACACAGGGCTGTCTCAACAGGCTATTTTTCACGCTGTGCCAACGTGTTAAGTGAGGGCACCCATTATCCATTGGCAGCCCTAAGCGTGATGTGCTTCATTAGCGTGTCCCAGCCTTTCCTGGGTTCAGCTGCCACAACTTCACATGACTCATCGCCATCACCCTCTGAGTCACTTCCTGGGTCCCCGGTGCCCAGACTCTTGTTACAAATTGCACCATTTCCGCTCCTCTAACACCAGTGCACGGGCCTCCAGCTCTCTTTACTCCTCAACTTCTGCTGCAGGCATCACAAATCCCTTTCCATATGGTTTCTGGGGGAAGATCTGACCTTGTGCCACTCTTGATGAACTCCCTCTTTCACCAATTTCTACTCAGACCTCAGCACGTTTTCTTCCTGCCTGAACTAAATGTGCCCTTCCTTTGGAATGACTCACTGGCAACACAAACTGGCTTTTCATTCACTGCTTTGACAAATGACAGTCTTCAACTGGTTTTTAAATGCATAAATACATATATCTGTTAAAATGTATATTAGATTTCTTCAAAAAGCTCATGGGAAATGGAGTTAAAAGATGCATTTAGGGGTAGGCATCGCGGTGCAGCAGGTTACGCCTCTGCCTGTGATCTAGCTTCCTGCTAATGTGCACCCTGGGAGGCAGCAAACGATGGCTCAACTATCTGGGTCCCTGCCACCCAGATTGGAGACATGAATAGAGTTCCTGGCTCCTGGCTTTGTCCTGGCCCAGCCTTAACTGTTGCGGTCATTTGAGAAAAGAATTAGTGGATGGAAATCTCTCTCTCTCTCTCTCTCTCTCTCTCTCTCTGTCTCTTTTATATACATAAATAAAAATAAACACATTTTTAAAATTTTTTATTTATTTATTTATTTTGACAGGCAGATTTAGACAGTAAGAGAGAGAGACAGACAGAGAGAAAGGCCTTCCTTTTTCTGTTGGTTTACCCCCCAAATAGCCGCTACGGCTGGCGCGCTGCAGCTGGCCTGATGCGCCGATCCAAAGCCAGGAGCCAGGTACTTCCTCCTGGTCTCCCATGCGGGTGCAGGGCCCAGGCACTTGGGCCATCCTCCACTGCCTTCCCAGGCCACAGCGGAGAGCTGGACCGGAACAGGAGAAACTGGGGACAGAATCTGGTGCCCCAACTGGGACTAGAACCCGGGGTGCCAGCGCCACAGGCGGAGGATTAGCTTTTTAAAAATATATTTATTTTGGTGCAAAAATTTTTGCAATTCATGCATTCAAGGGGTTTTCAAAAAGTTCACCAAAAACATATATTATATATTATGAAAAAACTATGTTAGATATCAATTAATTTTTCTGCACCAAAATATATCTTTTAACTCCATTTTCTCACAATCCTTTAAAAATATTTATTTATTTAGCTATCTGAAAGTCATAGTTACAGAGAGAGAGGGAGAGAAAGAGAAAGAAAGCTCTGCCATCCACTGATTCACTCCCCAAATGGGCCACAACAGCCAGGGCTGGGCCAGGCAGAAGCCAGAAGGCACCATCCAATCTCACACATTGGTGGCAGGGGCCCAAACACTTGGGTCATCTTCTGCTGTTTTTCCCAGACTATTAGCAGCTCCCAAGGAAATGGATTGGAAGTAAAGAAGATGGGACATGAACAGGCACCCATAAGGGATGCTGGCATTGCTGGGGGCAGCCCTACCTGCTTATGCCACAATGCCAGCCCCACCATGAACTTGTTGCCAGCCCTTGTATAAATATATATATACACTATATAGTATATATATTTTCATTTATGTTTAGTGTTAGTCACTATCACATATTTTAAATATATTTGCATTTATGTTATTTCTATATTTAACATTTTAAATTTTACATATTTAATGCTAGCAGTCAAAACCACAATTTTTTATTCATATTACTAAGCAAAGCCTGGATTTAAGTTCAAGTTCAAAGAATCATATAGATAGCTTCATCTCTACAAACTCTGTTGTCAGTTCTGCAGGATCTTGGAACATTGATGACTTGCCTAATAAAAATGCTGGCAGAAGATAAAAATCACTCCTGGGTAGTGCTACCTTTCAATAAGAGTTCTTAAAAACACCAACAAAACCAGGGAACTCGGCTGCATAGCACAGATTTCTTCCTCCCACAAAAGCCATCATTCTTTAAAAAATAAAAGGAGGCAATGCAATCAGAAAAGTTTCAACCATTCTCTCCAACATGTTTGACATAAAAGAAAATGTGTGACTTAGCACAGGTGTGCAGTACACAGTCTGTTTGTGGGGCAAGATGCTGATACCTGGTCTTTGGTCAAGGCAAAATTTTTTATTTCCTTGGTGGGACTGCCTTTTGGAAGTCACTGGATGTTTTTATTTCGAGGAGATTGAGAAAGCTCTCAGAATTTCTGAAACAGATGCACTTTGGTTTTGAAACATTACCAGGACTGGTTCAATAGGTACATAAATATAACACAAGCACCCACCCATTGTCCTTGGCGATCGCTGTGAAGTCACTGTATATCTCAATGCTGATGTTGCAGATTAAGATGCCAAGTATCTGCCCAGTGATGTAAGTGGGTATCTAGCCAGAGCCATAACCTTGAAAAGAGAGAGAAATGTTGTGTCTAAATGTGAATCTGTATTAGAGAGCATTGGAAAAACCCTGCAAGATATAGGTACCGGCAATGACTTCTTGGAAAACACCCCAGAAGCACAGGCAGTCAAAGCCAAAATTAACATTTGGGATTGCATCAAATTGAGAAGTTTCTGTACTGCAAAAGAAACAGTCAGGAAAGTGAAGAGACAACCAACAGAATGCAAAAATATATTTGCAAACTATGCAAGTGATAAAGGGTTGATCACCAGAATCTACAAAGAAATCAAGAAACTCCACAACATCAAAACAAACAACCCACGTAAGAGATGGGCCAAGGACCTCAATAGACATTTTACAAAAGAGGAAATCCAAATGGCCAACAGACACATGAAAAAATGTTCAAGATCACTAGCAATCAGGGAAATGCAAATCAAAACCACAATGAGGTTTCACCTCACCCCAGTTAGAATGGCTCACATTCAGAAATCTACCAACAATAGATGCTGGAGAGGATGTGGGGAAAAAGGGACACTAACCCACTGTTGGTGGGAATGCAAATTGGTTAAGCCACTATGGAAGTCAGTTTGGAGATTCCTCAGAAACCTGAATATAACCCTACCATTCAACCCAGCCATCCCACTCCTTGGAATTTACCCAAAGGAAATTAAATTGGCAAACAAACAAGCTGTCTGCACATTAATGTTTATTGCAGCTCAATTCGCAATAGCTAAGACCTGGAACCAACGCAAATGCCCATCAACAGTAGGCTGGATAAAGAAATTATGGGACATGTACTCTATAGAATACTATACAGCAGTCAAAAACAACTAAACCCGGTCATTTGCAACAAGATGGAGGAATTTGGAAAACATCATGCTGAGTGAATTAAGCCAGTCCCAAAGGGACAAATATCATATGTTCTCCCTGATCGGCAACAACTAACTGAGCACCAAAGAGGAAACTTGTTGAAATGAAATGGACACTATGAGAAACAGTGACTTGATCAGCTCTTGTCCTGATGGCTAATGTACAATGTAATACTTTATCCATTTTAGTATTTTTTTTTGTTCTAGTACCATTGGTTGAACTCTGTAATTAACACACAATTATTCTTACGTGTTTAAATTTTAACTGAAAAGTGATCCCTGTTAGGAATTTGGAAAACATTATGCTTAGTGAAATAAACCAATCCCAAAGGGACAAATACCACCTGTTCTCCTTGATAGGTGACAACTAACTGAGCACCAAAAAGGAAACCTGTTAAAGTGAAATGAACACTAGGAGAAACAGTGACTTGATCAGCCCTCACCCTGACTGCTGATGAACAACTTGATATGTTATCCCTCTTAGTATTTTTTTTTGTTTGTTCTACTTAATACTTTTGGTTGAATACTGTAATCAATACACAATTCTTCTTAAGTGCTGAAACTTAACTGAAAAGTGATCACTGTTAAATATAAGAGTGGGAATAAGAGAGGGAAGAGATGTGCAATTCGGGACATGCTCAAGCTGACTTACCTCAAACGGTAGAGTTAGAAACATACCAGGGGATTCCAATTCAATCCCATCAAGGTGGCATGTACCAATGCCATCTCACTAGTCCCAGTGATCAATTTCTGTTCACAACTGATCATAATGATAGGACTAAGAACCAAAGGGATCACATAAGCAAGAATAGTGTCTGCTAATACTAGCTGGTAAAATAAAAAAGGGAGAGAACGATCCAACATGGGAAGTGAGATACACAGCAGACCCATAGAATGGCAGATGTCCTAAACAGCACTCTGGCCTCAGAATCAGCCCTTAAGGCATGCGGATCCGGCTGAAAAGCCCATGAGAGTGTTTCAGGCATGGAAAGCCAAGACACTCTGGGGGAAAAAAAAAACCTAAATGAAAGATCTCCGCGAGTGAGATCCCAGTGGAAAGAACGGGTCATCAAAGAAGGAGGTACCTTTCTCTGAAGGGAGGAAAGAACTTCCACTTTGACCATGGCCTTGTCTAAAAATTATCAGAGTCAGTGAATTCAGGGGGCTTCCATAGCCTTGGCAGCTCATGACAAGAGCCTAGGGTGATTACTTAGGCCATAAACAAGAGTGTCAATTTGTTAAGTCAACAACAGGAGTCACTGTGCACTTACTCCTCATGTAGGATCTTTATCCTTAGTGTGCTGTACATTGAGATTTAATGCTATAACTAGTACTCAAACAGTATTTTTCACTTTTTTATGTTTCTGTGTGGGAGCAAACTGTTGAAATCTTTACTTAATGTATGCTAAACTGATCTTCTGTATATAAAGAGAAATGAAAATGAATCTTGATGTGAATGGAAGGGGAGAGGGAGTGGGAAAGGGGAGGGTTGCGGGTGGGAGGGACGTTATGGGGGGGAAGCCATTGTAATCCATAAGCTGTACTTTGGAAATCTATATTCATTAAATAAAAGTTAAAAAAAAATAAATGTGAATCTGGAACAGGACCCCTAGTATCCAAGTGGGATTTAAAAATTAAATAACACCACCCTGTGGAATATATTTTCAAATATTTGAGTGTTCCTAACTTTTTGATACACAGTTTTAAAAAAAAGTTTTAAAATGTTATATTTTTCATAGTATTCTAATAAATATATGCCACAAATACATGAAAGATTTCTAAAAATTTCATGGAAATGCATATTATGAAAAACTATGCACGGATATCAAAAATTTTTTGCACTAAAACAAGCTATATGTTAATTCTAGTTCTCCAGGAACTTTCTGAAGTACTCTTGTATAACATAAACAAAAATTTCATGAAACAATACTTAGTTATTTTTATTGTGTGTAATGCTCTCTGATATGTCTATATATTGTTTCATTTTTATGTTGCTTATGTCCCATGGAATTGATACTATGATGTTAATGAGTTATAATTTGTAGTGTCAAAACCACACAACTACTGTGAATGTATTTAATCTGGGTCCAGAGATTGAAAGCATCTTATGAGTGAGAGTGCAAGGCGATGAGCAAGGCTTTGAGCAGAAAGAATACCTCTGCCAATCTGTGGAGACTTAATTGCTAAAAGGCTCTCTGGGCAGCCATGGGTGGGTAGCCATCAATGTGGAATCTCCCTCGTGTCTCATGTTAACTGTAAGGGTGACAGAATCCTGCCTCTGCTGTCTTGGCTTTTGTCTCCTGTGAACAGAGTTCAGGCAAGGTGCTCACTGGAGCATCTAAAAGGCCAGACAGAGGCTGTGACTTCATCAAGTTTCCAGAATAGACAGTGTGAGCTGTTCTGCGCTTGCTTGCTGATGACTGCATGTTACTCAATTGTCTGCTTGTGTGGCAGAGTTTGATCAGACTTGCTTTCATTAGAACTTCATAGCAAGGTTGGGCAAGGGTGGGAGACTTCCACCCACCTCAATTTGTGTGAATAATGTAATCTTATAATCTTTAAAAAAAATCTAATATCTGTGATTACCAAATTGCTAAGAAACTATTCATAGGCTCCTTCCCACCTGCAGGTCTAGGAGGAGAGCAAAGGAGAAGCAGGTCACCCTGGGGATGAATGGCTGATAAACATGAACAATAGAACAGATATGTGGAACATATCTTGACTGAGAATTTACCTGCTGAGAAAAATGCAGCAGAGGAAGAATTTTCAAAGGATGGGGACTGTGGGTCATTTTATTTTAGATCACACAAGGAAATATATTTGGTAGCCAAAGGCTGGTTGAGGCCAGGAAATGCACAGGTCACGCTGGAAATCACAGTGTACAGGTAGAAGCATCTTATTGATGTGTCACTCTACTTAGTATTGCAGTTACTAAGCAAACCTCAGATTAATATTGTGGAAGCAAATGTGCAAGGATTCCATTTGAGCCTAAGATACACACACTGCTGAGTTTCAGATCCTTCTGATGAGTCAACAAAGGAACAGTCTGGAGGGAGAGGACTTGCAAATAGAAAAAAAGATAATAAACAAAAAATAAAAAGGAGAAAGATAAGAAAGAAACCACTGAAAAGAGGCTCTCTGTGTCAGGGGTTATTTGGAAGAAAGCCAGTGTAGAAGGCCTGGAAAGTGTCAAGAGAGAATACAGGAAGAAGGGTTTAGGACTTGTCTTGCCCATTGCTCCCTGGCCCAGATATACAAACCAGGTCGATTTCTTTGGGCTCCAGAAAGAATCAAAAGGAGACATGAGGATGTTGCTCCCAGTACACTGGACCTGGGGAATAGAATTAGTCCTGAGAGGGAGAAGGATATTCTCTTCCTTGCTCTATGAATCCAACACAGATAAGATTCATGGAGTGCAGAGCCACCTGGAGCTGGAAGGTCAGGGTATCCACATCTGGGAAAGCACACACTTGGCACAGACATCAGCGTTGTCATCTAAGGTCTTGGCATCAGTGACGGTACTGAGGTATGATTGCCAAGGGGTTTTGCAGGTGGTGGACATCAACTGTGTAAGCCAGAGAGGAATAACTTGAGATCAGTATTTATGGGTGTATAAGTCACCTTTTCGTTTCTATAATGAAACATCTGTGGCAGCCAGCTTATTAAGACAAAGCGTTTGTTTGGCTCGCAGTTTTGAAGATTCGCAGTCGACATGATGCAGGATTTGGCAAAGGCCCCAGGTTGGGAAGCAGAGTGTTGAGTGTAGGAAGGAGCACATGACAAGCACGAAGCAAGAGGCTGGGCCCAAACTTAGGCTTTTGTATCAACTTTTTCATAAGAACCACCTTCCAAAGGCACACCCCCAGTGACCAGAGGACCTCCCACTAGGCCTACCTCCTAAATGTTCAACCACCTCCTATATTGCCATCCTGGAAATCAAGCCTTTAACACATGGGCTTTTGGGGGACGTTCAACACTGGAACTAACATCCAGACCATAACAATGGACCTCCATTGTACCTTTACATGCAGGTAAGACTTCAGGAAATTTACATTAAATTGAGAAATCTCACTGGGATTGTGGTGATTCTGGGTCGTTCCATAGAAGTTGTAGAGTCCAAGACAAGGACCTGTGTA